CGATTCGCTGTCTTAGGTTCCACGCTACCGCTCCGTAAGATGCTAGCATGACCAAGTAGGGTAGGACATAATTCAGGGTGAATAACACGAGCGAAAAGGCATAGACATTCCCAACAGGATGCAATTCACAATGGCCACCTACGAACCTGTTTCGAATGAATATGGGCACACAGACAGCAGTAGGAACAAGCCACAAACAGGAAAAGATCACAGTCTTCAATTTCCCAGACACATGTCTTTGGATGGGGTTGATGAGTACTCGGTAGCGGTAGAACGCGAGCGCTGCCAGCGAAAAAGTTACTACCATCAATGAAATAACTTGGATGGGATTGTCAACGCACCAGATATCGTGGATGACAACATTCTTGTGTCCTTTTTCATACTGCCAGACGTACATGATCGGTAAGCAGAGAGAGTTGACGATTTCCGCAAAGGCCATGTTGGCAACGAGATGGTATGAAAACGGCTTGCGGTGAGGCGCTCTCCATATTGCTTTACAAACGACCGAGTTACCGATCAAGCTGGCCAAGATGATCAGTGTAAACAAGGTATGACGAAAAATACGCAGGGGTAGAGTTTCCTGGTATTGGATCACTCCGTAGTCTTCAGAAGTTCCACTGACAACAGACGTGTTGTTAAGCGATGTCATCGTGTTCTTCCAGTTCAACTAAGTTTTCTTGTAAGATATGTTCCAAGGCGACTTGCAACCTTCTTACTTCTTTCACAACACTGCAGCTGTCTTATAAATGTTTGATCTGCATCATAACTGGCAACTTAGAACTCTACTGACGGTTTTAATGAACACTCCTGAGCGGACACCAAAACATTTGTCAAGATACATGCAACTTGATATCCACTTTTAAAAAAATTAATTGAAATTTGCAAAATAAGCATGACTTTTCAGAAAAAGGTCAAACCAGGTGAAGCGTTCCCGTCGCTAACGAACTAATAAATTGATTAACGGAAAAATGATTTCGTTTGTTCATTCAATAATCCATTCATAAAATCAACAATCCAATATTCATAATTAGCCGCGATTCCATAATCGAATGTTGATTCGATTACTGTTTTTTGAAAAACTAAACTTTTTTTTCTTCTTTTTTTTTTAGAGTCGAGACCGTGCGAGTTCTGAAGTTCAAATCCAAACAAACTGTTACATGTACGCCATTTTGCTTCCGGTAATTAGTGCAACGGACCTGCCCTCTTAGAAAACACGATAGTCAAACTGAGGTCAGTGTATGTGGGGTGATTGGTGGATTTCGATCCTCGGCCTTTGTCTGTTTCTTTGCGTTTGCGGTCCGTCTCTTCTAGCTGTTGTTTTGATTAAAGGCAATTAAAAACGCAATCGTAAACGGCAGCAAATACGATTGAACTCAACAGACAAGAATAAAGAACAGGTAGATTTTGTTCATAAACCAAATCAAATCATTATTGAATCGAGGTCCAATTTGACTGTTGGATTGTTCTTTTTATGAATGGATTATTGAATCAACAAACGAAATCATTTTGCCATTAATGAATTCATTAGTTTGGTAGCGACGGGAACGCTTGACCTGGTTTGACTGTAACAGGGATATCAAAAGAACGCATGAATCGAAAACTACACGGGGATGTTCTCAGTTTTTATATTTCGAGCTTTTTTGTCTTTCCTTTATTTTCTAATATCATTGTATTTGGTACTTTCTTTAAAAATTGTGAAATTTCCTTAAACCAGGTGCTGTTGAATATTCTTTGCTGAGAATGGTCGTGTGCCAATTTCATGACAAAGCATAATCGACTTAATTGCCACATTGTCAACGCACTCAACCACTCAGTTTCATGGTAACACACGCAAAATGTTTTGCTTGTTTTTAAAAAAGCGTTTCGTCTGAAGTTTCGCGTTACATGAACATTCTAACCGGTGTAAACTGACAAAATAAAATTAAGGTTTTTCAGTAAATTCTTATCACTGGGAGGAAAGGGATTTGGACTGTTACTAAAGCTAACCACTCAAAACCCACGCCTTTTGACATTTTTTTTTCATCACCATGAAAGTAAAGTAAAAGTTTTATTTTCCAGAGAAACTGATATGATAAATATTTGGACGTTTGAGCACGTCTCCTGAATCCACAAGCACATCTGCGTTTTTCTTAAAGTTCTTTACACTAACAGATCTTAGAACGTCAGGCGCAAAGTTCAGATCAGTCTGCACAAACATGCATTGCGATCCTTTCTAAGCAAGTTGTTTAGGTTGCACCCAACATTTTTCACAACGCAGACTATTTGCTTTTTCAGTCGTTGCTGATGGCATACCGCCTGAATGTAAAATGACCATAGGCGTACGGGCCGGGGGGGCGAGGGGGGCTGCAGCCCCCCCAAATTTTGGGCAACTCAGATTTTTTTGGGCAGCAAGAGAAAATTTGGGCAAAGCCAGGTTTTAAAGACGTTTCCATGTTTTTTTAATTATTATTTTGAAGAGATAAATATTTTATATTTTAATCTGACAAAAATCCTGACGTCGGCGTAATAATCCAGTTACATTCTCTCGAGACATTGGTTGGCTAGCACGTGATGAGTTTCTGGTTATTAGGAAAGGGTATCATACGTTGATTTACATATTTATAGTTTTTTACTTTTGAGCATTGTACTGCACTGCACTAACTGGAATGGGCTCTTTCCAGTCGTGAATTGATCAGAATAAACTCCCGCATATCTTTCTAGAATCATCTCCCGCTTGTAGAATAGTGTATGGCAGATAGCATCAGCAATGGGTCTGAAAATGAAGAAGTGGCTGACTAGTTCTCAGTTCGATAACGGCCAAACATCAAGATTGTCCTTTCTTACCCTATTTCTAACGATAAAAACTTCATTCCAAAATATCTCAATAACACTCTCACAGTTTCCGTTTTCACTTCACGAACGTCGAGGCGACTATTTGAGGAAAAAGCTTCCGTGAACGATTTTGTAAGAACAGTTGCCTGTGCCGAGAAATATTACTGCAAGTAATATAGGCAATGGCCGCCTCATTTCGTTGCTATGACAACTCCGATGTCATTGCATTCCTGATCATGACAAATTTTCATCTTTACCTAATAAAACTGTGGTGGCAATTTTTCCAAATGTTTGTCTGTGGCGACGTAGTTATGCTCAGAATTGGGAGGTATTGACCCTGAAAAACTGTTACAGTATCGAGCCACCTTCATATCCCAGTGCGGCCTATGTTGTTGCATCGTATGACTCTCGTTTCTTTTCGACTGTACGTTTCGTAAAAATTCGGGCAACTTGCGAGAATTTTTTGGGCAAATGGTTTACCGCCCCCCCTGGCAAAAAATTTCCCGTACGCCTATGAAAATGACGTTCTCAAATTTGTACGTTTTTTTCTTTCAGCGCTTCTATTTCATGCTAAGGGCTGTGGTCTCTAACATTCATTATCAATTGTGATCAAAACATTTCTTTTCCCTTTTTGTCTTTTTAACAAAAAACGCGAAAGAAGTCATGCAAACATGAGGTTGAACCTGAAGAACCAACATTTTTAAAAGAGTAAAGGAAAAATCATCAGACTATTTTAATTTGGCATTTAAAAATCTTAACATTAAAAATGGCCCAACATGTCCAAGTGTTATTATTTTCTTTACCCGAAAAAAAATAACCTGGTCTTGCTTAGTAACATGACCCTGCGATACTAAATAATAATAATAATAATAATAACTTTATTTCTATAGCGCTCTTATCCTATGTTCAAGGCGCTTTACAATCATGTAAACAACATTATTGAAAAATATTTACAAATTTACGACCATATCCTAATATATTTACCATGGATAAAAAAGGAAAAATTGAAACTAAAACAACTATTAAACCATATTCATAATGATAAAAAAAGGGAAAAAATTAAAACTAACGCAATATATACAAATTTATAAAAACAATGATCCGTTATCACAGAAACTAAAGGTCATTAGTTATCTAGAACTAAAACCAAACGAATTCCACTTCTCTCCTGTTTCTACTCAAATTTCCATCCACGCAACACTACTTTTCCCGTAAAATAAGTTCAATGTCACTGATATCATTACAGCTTTTTCTTCCTGTTTTCAAATTTTCTACCACGTCTTCCATTTTCACATAAACACAAAGCACGTTCATCAAACTTTATTATCATTCGTTTCATCGGTTTAGTACATCTATTCATCGGTATCTTCTTCGCGTCGTTTTCCACATTCTTGACCACTAAAAACAGAAAAACGTTGCAAACCTCTCTTAGTCTGGCGTACATCATCCTTTTTTAGATTCTTGTTATGATCCAGAAAAGCACCTGCATTTCCATCCTCTTGCAATAAATCCACAAATTGACAAGAACGAAAAAAAATTGTCTTCTCATCCAGTCATCTAACTTGATCATATATTTGTGAAATATTGTTTTTAATTTCCTGCACGATAATGAAACTGTTTTTCTTCCTTCATGTTAGATCATCGTTAAACGACAATTTTCTTTTCTCTAATTCACCTAAAAGAGCAATCGGTTTGGCGTCATGAACTGACTAATTATTCACTAGCACACTTTTTCTTGTTAATGATATATGAAATAAATCATATATGAACTGCGGAAATGAAATGAAAATGAAGAAATGATCGTCGTAGTGAACGCAATTTATGCAATTGCGTAAAGAAGCCTGAAAAAAATTCCGGACTTCAACGGGGTTTGAACCCGTGACCTCGCGATACCGGTGCGATGCTCTTCCAACTGAGCTATGAAGCCACTGACGTTGGGAGCAGGTCAATTGTCAATTTTTCTTTTTTTTTTTCAATTGTTCATTTATCATGAGGTAAATGAAAATTCTGTTTCATAAAATGCTTCATTTATCATGCAACTATTACGACAACAAAATTAGAATAGTTCGCATTTTCACTAAAGCATTGTGGAATAATAACTTAGTGTTCTATTTAAAATACGGTTCATCTTTCATAACATATACAACGCTTACTTCACCTCGACATAAACTAAAAATACGTATTATTTTCTAAGAGATGCTCTGTATTTTGGGCGCAGGAACAAAGTTCAATCTTTGACAAAGGTCCTCCAGTGGTTCCTCAAAGTGTTTCTCAAAATAAACGTTCATGAAAAACTTAGATTGATAGCCACAGTACACAGCCCAGGGGATGTAATATTTCCTCAGGTTAGCGCGTTCCCTGTAGAGAAATTTACAGCGCAAGAGTTGTTAATAGGCGAGACTACAAGACAGTATTGAAATGGAATATTCGAAGGAACTATCTCGCCTCAGTTCGTCAAATGTTGGCAAATTTTTCTGGAGTTAAATTCTAAAAGATTGTTTCGAAGTTCAGGAAAAGAAAAAGGCAGTCGTTGTCTTGTGCCCAAAGTCCGCCAAAAAATGTGAAATTAGAACATTCACGTCGTAGTCTTGTGGTGACGGTAAAGAAATAAACAAAAAAAAAGTGATGCACGTGCACAGTTTCTCTTTTTGCCAATGTAAGGGCCTGTTCCCCTGTTTAGGGGATTGAATGTGGCGGAGATGCTACGGGGTCGTCCGCAAGCCAATGCGTCTTCGGCCGAAGGCCGAGCGGCGAAGCCTCGGGATAAAACTTCCGCGCGAGTCACTATAACGACTTGACCGAAACCGGAAAACGCGCATGTTAAGTCTCTGGCACCCAGGGTATATAGGGGTAGAAAATTATCTGATCAATTAACCAGTGAATCAATTAATTCTTATGGTTAGAAGAATCAATTAAAATAATTTCCTCGCGTACCTTGGTGTTAGTCTAATAGGTGCCACAATGGAACTCAAAGCGCACATGGGCAATCCAGTTTGTATCATCTCGTACCACTTTACAGCTATTTCGTGAGGAACACTATTAAAAATGAACAAATAAAATGGACTTTAGAGTTACTTGAATATTCCTGTTATTAACCTTTCCACTGCCGACAAGGACATGGCAAGAAATATGATGACTATTCCAAAGAACATTAAGTAAATTTGAAATACGTCAAGTATGTCCACTTTGAATCGCACTACAAGACCATTACCAGACGTTCACTCTCTTATAAGGAGGACCGTCTAGAACAGTGAAGGTAGTTACCATTTTTATCATGAAATAGTTAAACGGCGACATCAATCGTCCGTTGAAGTTCTTAATTCGAGATCCAAGCACAACCTTCTTAGGAAAAATAAAGTTTAAAACTCTTTCCAAAGCCGGAGTGAAGGGAGACTGGACACAGCCCTATTTGTTTTGTTTTGTTTTCGTTGTAAGATGGCTCGTCAATTTCAACTATGTAAGCACCTATAGCAGGCTTTTAGGTAAAAGCGATCACCTATCTACTTTACTCCTTTAAAACATAAGTGAACTGTATTGTTATAATGGCTAAATAGCGCTTTTTGTTTGGCCAAACTGCAGAATACCGGCCACTTCATATACAGCTTGTTGAATAACAAAAGCTGGTCCATTGTTGTAAGGTCCTCTTTCTTCAAAGCTTTCCGACACATGCAAATAAAGTGGCATGAAGGGGCCGGCGGGTATTCTGTAGTCATACAATTCCACCCAATTACATAATTAAGTTCGCAAGATGTTCAATGGAGTTGTTTTAGTTTGTTATACTTCAAAGTCATTAGTACTTTGAAATAAGGCTAATTGTGAAGCAACCAGACTCAATATGGCACTGAGACTGTGTACCTGTTTCAACTCTAGTCTCACATACATATTCTCCATATTACTCCATGCAATTCTTATGTTACTTGTTAGGAAAATTTACTCAAAGATCAAGTCGTTTGTTGGGCCCAAATGATACAGCTATTTTCTTTTGACATTGAAATGACCAAAACGAACAAAATCAAAACACCAAACGAACAAGATTATAAGGATTTGACTTTTTTCACCAAGAGACTCAAATGCGCGCCGCTTTAGGTTAGATTAGAAAACACGCAGACCGGGGGAGGGGGGTACTTCCTTATAAGAGGCTACTGGGGATGTGCCGCTGGATGGGGTCGCATTTTCACGACTGGATTGATTATAATGGGGTCGCATTTTCAATACAGTTACTAGAACGGGGCCGCACATTTTCGGATTTTGGGGGTAAGACAGTTCTTCATATTTACGGTTAGCAAACGTACCAGAATATCTGTACTGTAGGTGAAAAGTAAAGTGTTCTTCATTCACTTTAAAAAATGAGTCAATTCATTTTAGGATGACCTATTTAGAAAGTTACTAAGTTGGGATCGCGAAAATTACATATTTGCCCAAAAGTGACTATTTTAAGATGGGGTCTACAATTGGCCACAAAATAGACTATAATGGGGTAGGGGCTCTGAGAGGCCAGCGGCACATACCCGGCAAAAATTAACCCAAGTAACCCCCCCGGGCATGCAATGCACTGTCAGCTGAAAAAACATCGTTAAACTGCCGCAAGTACCACTGGGCTATCGATTGGAAAATCGAACGATGCTTTTTTCATCTTAGGGCTTTCCTTTGCGGCAAGATGACAAGTCACTATTACAGTTAACACTTACGGCAACAATTCTTCAAGGTGAAAAGAAACTCGATCTAAATCTATTACAGTGGAACCTCGATTTCACGAACCTCTAACTAACGAAGTCCTCGGTATAACGAACGATTTTCTTTACCCCAGTAATAGTAGTGAAAAAGAACCTCGATATAACGAAGCCTTGAAGTGGCGAAAATATTTTGTTAGTCCCTTGGCCCTTCGTTAATTCGAGGTTCCAATGTATTTAGAAAGTAGGCACTGTGAGTACTGAAGACTTGTTTACCATAAGAGAGACTATTAGAGGTACAGTAACCACGCCCGGAAATGAAGCTAATGAAATTTTATCAGGTTGTTGTTCTCTTTTGGCATCAACTCTAACTGTTGAGTTAAACGTCACTTTAACACACACCATCACTCTGCTCACAATGTATCAAATTCTCGTATGGAATAAATAAAAATGAACATATTTAAAAGCTTATTTTGTGCTCAAACCTTATTGATAAGCCAGCCAGAGTGTGGACAAAATCGTGAACCTCCCTGTACCGTTGCATTACATAAGCGAGATCAGAGTCATCTATAAACTTCACCTAAATTAAGGACCAAAAGATACCTTAAAATTTCTTCCTTTGGGTATAAGTTGTTGGTCAGTTATCTTATTAGAGCGGCAGCTATGAGCCACACGGGGATGGGATCAACCTATTCTTTGCAGTATAACAGCGCAAGCACTGCCACTTATCCTGGATGGATAGAAAGTCCATACTACATGTAGAGTTACAGCCCTTCTACACTAGACCGAGAAATTTGTTTATCACATCTAAAAAAATGAAGAGTGTGCCTTTATCAAATTTCACCCAAGTGCAATGAGACTGAAATGCATGGATATTAAGTAGATGAAGAAATTATCGCAAGTTCAATCAAGCCTTCACCATATGTGACAGTCACCATGCACTCAGTGGTTAGAGCATCCAACTGGTAACTGGACGGTTGTGGGTTTAATTGCTGCCACACCGCCTCAGAATTATTTTCCTAGTATTTCTACTTTAGTTTCATTACACTTGGGCGGTTGGTTGGTTCAAAGTGTACACAACACTGTCTTAGTCCATCTGCTTGTGAGATGCAGGTAATTTAATTTGTTGCTTTGAATAGTGTCCAGCAGTACTCGCAAGATAAAAAGCGCCGTGACTACCCAAAGCGTACAACCTGCGCTCTGCAGGAGTCACCTACAGATCAGTACTTCAAGCAACAAACAGTTAACCGAAAGATTGTGAGTTCCATTCCTGATGGGAGGGCCTGGATTTTTTTCGAGCATTAATTTTGTTCATATACTTAATATTTAACAAACTGGAAACAAGGGTGCATAAATCACAAAGCAGCATGGAGTTTTAATCCTCAATAGGGTATTCCTCCTAAGCCCCCCTCCTTTTTTTGCTACACAAGAAAAGGAAAAAATATAAATGAGTGCTCGTGCCTATGTTTATTCTATGCTGGTTCTCAAAATATTTTTCTTTGTGCTTGGAGTATGGCGCAAATGTGGGTACAACCTTTATCATAACATTACTAAACTGAACATTCTGACTAAGGTATGGAAACTTTATCTATTTATGATCCATTTCCAAATTTGTAGAGAGAAATATGTTTCGTGACACTGTATAGGTCCTGTACCAATATACAGATGCATCAGAAAAGGTTTTTCTTGGACATGACTCCCATGATATAATTTCTTAGTTTCAATCAAATTACGTTAAACTATAGTTATTTTACAAAAAATAGCTTCTTCTTACCTCATCTCTATCAGGAGAAAGTTTCTAAATATAAAGAGACAGACAGGTTCAGTATTAAAGCCAAGCTTTTAATAGGAAAGAAATACTGTATTTTACAGTAGAAACCCAGTAACATGAACTCTGAAGGGGAAAGAACAGTTCGCGTTAGTGGGGGTTCCGGTTATTGGGGTCGATTGCAAAATTCAATTTGTCTTGTTCGGTAAAAATTGATGGTTTTATTGATTTTCAGCACCTCAGTGTATAGTGCAGTGCAAATTTAACTTATTTCAACAGAAACAGTAGCATGATAAGGCACTTTTAATGATAAAACATGATCTGCTCGTTTCAGCGAAATTACATCAAATTGCTTTAGTGTTGACCAGTGTTAATTTTAGTGTTTTTACCCTTATACAACAAGAAAAGCTAATGGGATAGCATCCAAGAGGAGTTAAAAGAACCAGAATTCGAGTTATCACAGTAAATTTCAGTGACTTTTTGATCAAGGGACAGGAAATTAAGTTCAAGTTAGCGGGAAATTCGAGTTATCCGAGTTCAAATTAACCAAGTAAAAAAGACTGGAAAGTGGGGTGAAATCCAAGGGAAATTGGACTTAGTTCCAGTTAGCAGGGAGTTACAGTTATCTGAGTTCGAGTTATTGGGGTTCCACCATAATTATTTGAAATGAGATGGTCTACACTACAGAGTTCTATTTTGGTGATAACGTACACTGTATATCAACCTAATTTTTTCTTTTCACCAAACTGGGCCATAGGGGTATCAAAAATTAGCTTATATGTTTTGTTTTCCGAGTAGAGGTCATGTGATGTTTGCAAGGGATTCACCCTTTGTCTTAACCCTTTCACTGCCAGAGTGTTTGATGGAGTTTTGTAAGGTGACTCTAACTTTTGAGTCTATGGACGAAATCCTATGATGTGACCATTCAAATCAAAGCTCTCTGCCTGTACTTTCACATGATGCTATTTGTTTCCCACAATAATTATTTTGGAAAATGAAATTTGGAAATTTGGTTGAAACGTGCCTTTGGCCACATTTGGCAGTGAAAGGGTTAAATAATAATAATAATAATAATAATAATAATAATAATAATAATAATACAAAACTTTATTCATAGATTTAAAAAAATAGACTATTTACAGATTCAAGAATATGAAATATTAAAATATATACCCTTTGTACATTCTTCTTGTGTACGAAAGAGAATTGTCGTAAAATGACTATCTAAAGACTACTAATAACAATTATAAAAAGCATCAAAAAGTTAATAAAAAAAATTTAAAAACTATTTAAAAATAATAATTCAAACTGATAAAAATAATAATAATAATAATAATAATGGAATTTATATAGCGCTTATACATCGCTGTTCTAAGCACCTTACAATGTAAAAAAGGACATAAGAATATCATTAATCACAAGCTTACATATAACCCTACTGTACATATTGGGAAATTTATAGCATACACATTTTAAAAAGGAAAGAAAACAAAAAACAAATATGATGAAACTAAATGTCATATACCTTTTAAAAAGAAATGTTTTCAACTTAGATTTACTTAGATCTTCACATGTCACATTTGTTGTAGGTCAAAATATAATTCAGGTTAAAATGATTTCAACTGAGTTTGATTCTCAGTTTCCTTTGTCTCTTAGCCCTAGTTATTCACTTCATTTTTTACCTACAACACATATTTGCAATCCACGTGGACATCAAGAACTTTTCAAGACTGCATGCAAACCCTGACAACCCATCTTTTAAATCTTAATAAAACAGCAAACAAGCTCACATTGATATCCATTCCTCTGACATATTCCCTCCCAAAAAATCCATCTGGAAGCTGACGGAGTTTGTTAAAGTCTACTGTGGATGAATTTAAGCGCGGACGTTCTCTAAAAGATAAAAAATACACAGTATGGATGACAGATTCGTGACATAATACCTCAGGTATATATTAATATATAGATTTAGCCAGGGCTAAAAGCGAGGCTCCCATTAGTAAATTTATAATTTAAATTAAACAATAAACTTGTATTCGAATTCCACAATTCAGTTAACTTTAGAGCACATTTATGTGACTTTTGAGGGAAAGGCTACCTGATTTTAGAGAAAAATAATTTGCAAACAGCCCAAGAGTGAACCAAATCTTACATCGAGTTGATAGCCTCATATGTACACTAAAAAACTGGCAATCATCTTTTATCACATTTAAGAGCCGTAATGGCTATTGATCACCGTAGATCAATTAGGCTTAGAAAAAAAATCAGGCCAACGTTTTGGCGTTCGACAAGTTTACTTTGCAAAATCTTGCCAACAAATCTGGGTGCGTGTAAACCAACCTTTTATACCATGGAAAGAAAGCAGTATTTCACAATACAAATTGCTCTCATTCAATATTCATAAACTGTTAAAAAAATTTTCCAAAATCACCTATACGGCCATCCGGTTCTCACTTTTGTAGTGCGAGCTCTAGCGAGTGTTTGAATGAACATTAACAGAGTTACGCTCCAAGATAATAAAGAATTTATCATGTTTATTTTTTATTTGATGGTTTAACGCGCGGCATTTTGAGAACTCCTGCAAGCGATCTTCACTGAACGACTGAAAACAATCCTCGGCATAGCGATTAAAATTGCAAGAGAGACTACCAACAATCAATAAAAGAAATATAATTCGGTGAAACATAAACAGAGACAACAATTTTCATTCAGGAAGACAAGTATTAAAGTGTCCCTAAATATCCTGAGTCTTCAAGTTTCAAGCTTAAGTTTGCTGAAGTTTATGTTTTAAGCCAGCTTCCCGGTGTTTGTTTTTTCAAAGACGAACTCGAGGCAAGAAAATCGCTCAAAGCTTTCTTTTCCGGCTAGAATTATAACTAAAGATTCTTTGGAACATTTTCTTTCTATTTGCGGTGAGAAACTGTCTAAAGGCTTTTTAAAGTTCTGTAAGATTATATCAAACCAGATACTCGGTGAGATCGTTGTCTCAAAACTTACAAACGCGCATAAACTAAATTCCCGCATAAACTACGCTCCACTTCATTCAATTAGATACAAAAAACAAACATGAAATACAATAATTTCTCTGGCTTACCATTCGAGATGCAGCTCCTGAAAGTTATCAGGTAAAGCCAGTATCGCTTCAGACTTTGCAATCCTCTTACGCATCAAGCAAGGTGAAAACCAAAACGATGCCATCCGAAATCGGATTTCCGACTTTGACAAGCAACGCGTTTTCTCAACCAAAAACCCAATAAACAAACTAGCCATGAGTAACAGAAGACTCCTGATAGCAGCTGAATTTCATTTTGTACATCCAGTGGAAAAAGACAGTTAAAAACATCACAAGTTGACACAAAACTCTGTCAGCTTCAGCTGTTAAAGTAAACAAGATTCAAGATGCTGCATAAATTTTGCGCATGAACTCACATGTCAAATTTTGACCAATCAGAACATAAAATTGGACGTAGAGCGTGACCAACGCGTGACCATTGTGAAAAAAACAAAAGCAACTGTCTTCCCTGCCTGTAACAGCTGGCTGAATTTTCACGTCCGAGGTCAGTTTGCAATCAAAATTTTAATTGTGCAGCACATAAACACAACATATTTCATATGAATTAAGAAAAAAAATTGAACTTGAGCCTGCGATCACTTGAAAACTAGTTTACTTGTCAGCGGATAACTTCAAAAAATACTTGACCTCGACGGGTCGACACCTGAGCCCGCGATACGGTCAAGTGATACTGGTCAGCGGGTACTCTGTTTTGACAGCTGTCAATTGATCAAAACATTGATTTCCAATATGTGTGCATTATCAGTTTTCCTGTGCTCCCAAACTAGTAAAAGTGTGAGATTGAACGTTGTTCGCGATCTAGTAAAACAGTTAACTGGTCAGCTGACAGCTTCCAAATAAATCACGTCACCTCGATGAGTTGACACATGAGCCCGCGATATGGTCATGGGATACTGGTCAGTGGCTATCCTGTTTGGACAGCTGTCAATTGACCATATTGTTAATGTCCTATATTAAAGATGTGGGCTTGCCAAGACACGCCTGAGACACCCCTCCCTTCCTTTTGATAGTCTCCCCTACCCCACCCATACAATCTGTAGACGCGTACGTACGTACGTACGTACGCTCGGTCAATCACGTGACAACCAAACGAAAAGAGGTTGACCATATTCCATGGGTATGGGGCTCTGTCCCACGCGCGCTTCGCGCGCGCGGGAGCCCCGCTAATATTATATTTAACATCTCTACCTTTCTTGCATTCTTACTTGTTCCAATGCAAAAATAATACCTGTTTACACTCTAAGCCAGGAATAACTGGTAGGTCAGGGTGCAAAGAAAGTCATTTTTACAGCTTGCCATTCTGGCAAGCTGAAGCTAACATTTACTAGCTCAAACATCATTTCAACTAGCCCCAAAGACGTTTTGATAAGCAAATTGATTTCACAGTTCTTCTGTACTTTGAATTCCTCAAAAAACTTCACTTGCCCGTTGGGCAAGTTAATATCAGAATTCACAAGCCCAATAACAAAATCCACATGTCCTGGGCTATCGGACACTACTTTCTTTGCACGCTGTGGGCTAAATCTTCATTGTTCTAAAAGTCACTCTTCTGTCAGAGGCCTGTCAAGGTACCAAGTGACTGTTGATTGTTGGTATCTATGCCTCATTCAAGGAACATTTTGTCATTTTTTTTAAAATGGAATATATCACTTTCCTAAGTTCAGGAGTGCACAAAAAGCAAATTTCTCTCAAGAAATTTTAGAAATATGGTCAGAAATTAATTTTGATGCTAACATCAAAACCGAGCAGCAATTCCTTGAACAACATATATGGCATAATTCGCTGTTTAGGATCGAAAACAGACCGGTCTTCTACAAACATCTTTTCCTGCATGGAATCACTAAGGTAGCCCACTTAATGACAGACTCGCGGAATTTTCTCCCCCTAGCAGATTTTATCAGCACTTACAAAATACAAATACAACCCATAAAGTACTTCGGCTTAATTTCTGCCCTTCGACACCATTATAACACTAACTTTTTTAGTAAAGAACCTAGTAGCACAGACATTCCCAATACCTGCCCCGAGACCTTCTCCGAGACTTTTTTCAAGAACGATAAAGTGAACAGAGTTGTATACCAGAAGCTCCTCTCTTCCAAAAGCACTGTACCGTTTAAGAGCCAACAGAAATGGAATGACAGCATTAAGTCCGACCAAAGATGCTCTGCTGACTGGACCAGCGCCTATTGTCTGGCAGCTAGGTGCACAAAAAGCACAAAACTTGTAAACTTTCAATTTAGATTCCTTCACCGAATTTTACCAACGAACCTTTTCCTAACAAAAATCGATATAAAGCAGGACCCGAACTGCTCTTTCTGTACCATCCATCCCGAAAACCTAATCCACCTCTTCTGGAACTGTACAATAGTAGCCACCTTTTGGGAAAATTTGACTGAAAAACTAAAGCAGATCAATCTAATAACGATAGATTATCCAAAATACACTGCTGTATATCTGGGCCTGAAACCAGACACCTCCAAGTTTTCACTTCAACTAAATTTCTGCTTTCTCCTGGCAAGATATTATATATGGAGCTGCAGGGTCAATCAGAAAATTCCGAATTTAACAACTTTTCTTATGTCCCTTAAATCGCAGTTTTACATAGAGTCCAACAACATTGATGCAACTTCTAAGAAATGGAATCCTTTACGTCCACTTCTCAACATTACATAGCTTTTGGTAAAATAAAAGCTTTCCTATTTATCCATTTTGTGTAAATGAACCAAGGCCAAAGTGCAATTGAGAGCTAGACATACCGCCAATATTTCTTAATTAAAGTATCTATTTCACATATCTTTCCGCACTGTTTATTAATCATCTTACTAATCATCTAATTATGCACATTTATGATTTCTTATTAATATTAGCAATTGTTGTCAATGTTATCTCAAGTAGTTATTGCTAAAAACCATAACAGGCAGAGGAGTCGCCTTTTTTCTTTCTTTCTTCTCTTCTCTTTTCTTTTCTTTTCTTTTCTTTTCATTTATTTATTGTCTTTAGTAGTCCTTTTGTTTGTTGTAAACTAGTTTTAGGTATTTTAATGTAAGTAAGTAGCAAACAAGTAAGTAGTAAAGCTGTAACGTAAGTAAATTTTGTAGTCTTGTTGTAAGTAAGTACCGTGTAGCTGTATTGTAAGTGAATGCCAAGTGTGATTATAAAATAAAATAAAATAAAATAAAAAAAAAATAAAAATTTCTTTTTTGTGTTTAAAAGTGATACCACAGTCCATTCAAGTTCTACCTTTTTTCTTCCCAATTTAGTTATTTTATTGTTTTTCCTTGTTTGTTTGTTTGTTTTTTCTTTGCTGGGCATTTCCTAGGCTTCATTTTGGTGGGGAAAGTTTTTGGCAAAACGTTTAGGATGTAGTAGGGTTAGATTAAATAAAGTGCAAGTAGGTAGTGGAGCAAGAGTTTGATTGGAATTTCTGCTCAACTTTGTATGGTTTCTTGCATATTTCTCTAGCCTGTTTGACTAAATCATGCTCATTTGGGTATAGTTTAAAAGATTTCTTCCTCCTGCATAAGTTACATGTCAAAATTGTCAATGATCATTAAAACTGATAACATCAAGGGATGTGGATCCGCCACAAAGGATGTGGTTACTGTCAGTTAAGGGGTGAATGAGTGAATGAGTTTAACTGTTCAATGGTAGATTCAGGGGGTTCATTAAGGTTTTGAACAGGAGGGCAACTGAGTTTGACACCTGGGCAAAGAATTGGCAAGGCCGGGAGGGCTTTGCCCCCTAGTGGGTTCCGGAGGCATGCTCCCCCGGAAAATTTTGAAATTCTATAGTCGCAAGGATGTGTTTTCCTGCATTTTGAGGCTGCAGACCATGACTTTCAATTCATTGGCGTAAACCATAAGACGAATAAAAAATAACGCTTCGCTTCGTTGAACACGATGATTAAGCCATTAAATATATACAGGCAAGTAAGAGGTCAAATCACAAAGAAGTCTATTCACCTCTTGGCCTTTCCTCTACCGGAAGCCCTTTGGCTGAAGCCGAAAAATAATCTGCTATTTTCTGGGCCGCCATGCTCACGTGCTCGCAACACTGATACATTTCAGGTGGTCGTTTATGAAGCACAGTTCTTTTCGCAATGTGTTATGGGGCGATTCTTGTTTTTAACACATAACGAACGACATGCCGCGTGTAATAAAGTGGAAATTGCACGGCAAAATATGTTTTATACTCGATAAGACTTATCAAGAAAAGGGCGCGATTGTAACTTAACCTGTTTTGATCGTTCCTTGTATTAAAAAGAAGTTCTTTGAGATGTAAAGCAGCCGGGCAAAGTCGTGTTCACAGCCGGTCAATTTGCCCGGTGCCCGGCCCTTAATGAACCCCCTGTAGATTAAATACCTACTCCAAAATCTGTTGTCCCACAGGATCTTGACCCATTCTATGGTGCATTTTCTTTAGTGCTAACAGCCCTGTTGTCTCTCCAAGAGTGGCCACCATATCTGTTCACAAAAAAATAAGCATGACCACTACACCAAACTGGAGCACTTTGATTTATACATAGCTCCAGGAGACACATATATCCATTGCCCTTCCTCTTTTAAGCAAGACAGTTGTCAACATTTGAGAAAAATTCAAATTCAGATTTGACATTGGTCACTCTTGCAATTGAGTGTTAAGATTCATGAAAAAATTTAGCACCAAAGAAATAGTCCAGACGACCAAGAAGTTCAGGGAATCAAGGTCCAGTTAACTGAGGTTTGACTATATTTTGAATTTCCGAAAATTATTTAGGGTTTCTTTCTCTACAACTGCATAATTTGGTGAGATTTACTGGGAAAATTTCAAACAAGTCTCACATAATTATGACGTCGATGGCACCTTGTTTATTTCACCCGCTTCTTGGTAAAGACAAGTAATCAGACAAAACAAGCCTTCTTATATACAATTATAACATAAAATAATTTTAACACTGGTGCTGTAAAAAGATAGACATAAGATAAGTTTATCAAAGCACTATAAAGAGCCCTCACCAGCCCTAGTAGGATTATACAATGCCATTAGTGCAGATCCTGTGGTTAGCAACAGCTTCTGCATTGCAGATGTAGGAATGTGGGACTCGTAGAGCTGAAAACTGTACGGTTCAACATCCTCTTTTGAAGAATGGATACTATCGTTGATCATATCATCAAGTTCAAATCCTAGTTGAAGAGAAGA